CGTCCTGAGCCTGGTCGCATAGCTCAACAAAATGATCTCAGCACATGGAGGTGAAAGAAAGCAGTCAAACCCCTCCTCAGCCACCATTAAGGAGCTTTAAAGGAGGTCTCCTTAGGGTATAGTAAAATACTGTACATTTACCAAAAAATGGTATGCATTTTTTTTTAAAGATTAAGAAACCCTGCTCTGATGCTCTCAGTGAGGAAGGGGTGGAGGCAGGAATTCAGTTTTTCCCAGGCTCATGTAGGATAAACCCAGGCACCGTGAGGCTTGCAACCAGGGCAGGGGGCAGCAGCAGCTCCCCCGGGGCAAACCCCCAAACCTGTCTCCAAGGCCCTCTTTTCTCAGTGAGCCAAAGCCGCCCCACCTAGGTTCTTTTTTTTCCCCCCTATAACATTTCTGGAGAGCCGAAGCAGCCCCACCTGGGCTCTCTCCTGTTGCTTCTTCTACCCTAAGCCCTTCCTTGTTTCACTGTCCCCAGCTTTAGTAAACACAGACACACACACACACACACACACACACACACACACACACACACACAAGCATAACAGAAAAAGGATTCCAAAAAAAAAGAGAAGAGTTCAAGGAGCCTCTGGGACAACTTCATCATGCATGGGGGTGCTGGAAGGAGAAGAAAGAGTGCAAGGAATTGAAAACCTATGTGAAGAAATAATAATGGAAAATTTCTTTAACGTGGTGAATGAAAAAGGCACACAAGTCCAGAAAGTGCAGAGTCCCAAACAATATAAACCCAACGAGGCCCACACCAAGACACGCCGTGATTAAAATGCAAAAGGTTAAAGACAAAAAGAAAATCTTAAAAGCAGCAAGAGAAAAGCATTTAGTTCCCAAAAAACTGTCAGCTGATTTCTCAACAGAAACTTTGCAGGCCAAAAGGTATTGGTCCAAAATATTCAAAGTGATGAAAAGCAAGGACCTACAACCAAGATTCCTCTAACCAGCAAAGTTGTCATTTAGTATCAAAGGACAGATAAAGAGCTTCACATACCAGAAAAAGCAAAAGGAGGTTTATCAGGATCAAACCAGGATTACAAGAAATGTTAAAGGGTCTTATTTAAGAAGAAAAAAAGTTCAAAAATATGAATAATAAAACAGCAATACATACATATCTATCAACATTTACTTTAAATGGATTAAATGCTCCAATCAAAAGACATACAGTGGCTGAATAGATAAGAAAATAAGACCCTTATATATGCTGTCTACAAAAGACTCAATTCAGAGACTGGAGTAACAATATTCCAGGCAAAATTAGAGTTTAAAACAAAGTCTATAACAGGAGACAAGGGACCAACAATTCCATTTCTGGGCATTTTCCTGAAGAATCAAAAAACACTAAATCAAAAGGACATATGCATCATATGTTCATCTCAGCATTATTTATAATGGCCAAGATATGGAAGCAACCTAAGTGTCCATCGAGAGATGAACAGTTAAAGAAGAAGGGGTGCCTGTATGCAATGGAATATGACCCAGCCATTAAAAAAAAAAAAAAGAATGAAATCTTGCCATCCACACCAACATAGAAGGGCCTAGAGGGTATTGTGCTGAGTGAAATAATTCAGACAGAGAATGACAAATGTCATATTACGTCACTTATTTATGAAATCTAAAAAACGAAATAAACCAACAAGCAGACAAGAACCATAGCCACAGATACAGAGAATATTTTGATGGTTGCCAGATGGGAAGGGGATTGAAGGGATGGGTGAAAAAAGGGAAGGGATTAAGAATTACAAATTAATAGTTACAGAGTAGTCATGGGGATATAAAGTACAGCATAGGGAATATAGTCAATAATACTGAAATATCTATGTATGGTATCAATGTGTGATATCTAATCACCTGATACTAATATAATATTGTATATCGACAGTAATTGAAAAATAAAAAATATTTTTTAAAAGTGCATGTTGATCTTCCAGTCAAGATGGTGGTGTAGGCAGACATGGCTTGCCTCTTTGCACAATCACATCAAAATTACAACTAAAATACAACCATCACTCAGAAATGTCAGAAATCAAGTTGAATGAATGTCTGACAACTAAATTAAAGAAACCACATCCATTGAGACTGGTAGGAGGGGCACAGGCATGGAAAGGGCTGGTCTCTCGCCCATGCGTGGTAGATAAAAATTCAGGAGGGATATCTCAGGACTGAGGAGTCCCAGCCCCACACTAGGCCCCCCAGCCCAGGGTTCCAGTGCCAGGAAGGTAAGTGCTCACAACTTGTGGCTGCAAAAACCAGTGGGGATTGGGTTGGTGGAAGAAACTTCTGGAGCCCCAAGCAGTTCTCTTTAAAAAACCCACACATGGACTCACCTACTCAGACTCACTCCCTCTAGAGCTCCCGCACTGGAGTGGCAGCTTGAAGGGCACCAGTGGCACACGGGGAGAGGCTGAAGTGTCTGGCTTTGGGGCAAGCAGAGGCCAGTGTCCCTTTTCTGAGCCCTGCCCCTGCAGAGCCACAGAGCCAGCAGGCTGGTGCCATATTTGAGACCTGGCTAATACTGTTTGACCTGTCTTGGAGATTCCCAGAGACTCCACCCGACCCAGTTTATGGGCCCACCCAAGCTACTTTTCCACATGAATAACTGGTCTTGGCTCATGCCTCGCAGCTTCCTAAATCCTATCATACAAGCAACAGCTGGCCTCGGCGAGCTCCAGGCTGGGCCCTAGCAGCAACTGGATTAGTTTCATAGCTTGGCTTTGCCTGGACATCTCTGGGCACAAGTAGCAGCCGCCTCAGATTGCTTTATAGCTCAGGAAGGGAGGCCTCTGGCAAAACACAGGTTGAGGCTGACCTTGGCCTGCACCACCCAGGAAATCCCCAGAACCAGCTCACGCAGTGGACAGCTACAGACCACGCTGGAGCACCACCACCCTGCCCCTGCACAGCCGATTCTCCACGGATGGCAGAGGTTCATAGTAGGTGGTCACAGCCAATCCTTGCAGCTGACTGGCCTGGGTAAATCCCTCCCATTGATCTGCCAACAGCAACCAAGTCTCAACTACAAGAGGAGTGTATACTCAGCCCATACAAAGGGCACACCTCAAATACCCAGGTTGGGTGATAGGGGAGGCTGTGTCACTGGACCCTACAGGACACCTACTACATTAGGCCACACTACCAAGATACAGAGTCAAAGCAGCTCTACCTAATATATGGAAATAAACACAGGGAGGCTGCTGAAACGAGGAGATGAAGAAACATGACCCAAATGAAAGAACAGATTAAAAACTCCATAAAAAGAGCTAAACAAAATGAAGTTAAGCAATCTATCAGATGCAGAGTTCAAATCACTGGTTATACGTATGCTCAAGGAATTTAGTGAGGACCTCAGCAGCATTAAAAAAACCTAGTCAGAAATGAAGGATTCACTAATTGAAATAAAGAACAATTTACAGGGAAAAAACAGTAAAGTGGATGAAGCAGAGGATCAAATCAATGATTTGGAACATAGGCAAGAAAAAAAAAAAACCAATCAGAATAACAAGAAGAAAAAAGAATCCAAGAAAAAAAAATGAGTGTAGTATAAGCAGCTTCTGGGATAACTTTAAGAGGTCCAACATTTGCATCTTAGGGGTGCCAGAAGGAGAAGAGGAAGAGCAAGAAATTGGAAATATGTTTGAAAAAACGATGGAAGAAAACTTTCCTAATTAGGTGAAGGAAATAGACATGCAAGTCCAGGAAGCACAGAGAGTCCCAATCAAGTTGGACCCAAAGAGGACCACACCAAGACACATTATAATTAAAATGCCAAGGGTTAAAGACAAAGAATGAATCTTACAAGCAGCAAGAGAAAAGCAGAGAGTTACCTACAAAGAAGTTCCCATACGACTGTCAGCTGATTTCTCAAAAGAAACTGGAGGCAAGAAGGGGCTGCCAAGGAGAATTCAAAGTTATGAAAAGCAAGGACCTACAATGAAGATTACTCTACCCAGCAAAGCTATCATTTAGAATAGAAGGGCAGATAAAGTGGTTCCCAGACAAAGGAAGCTAAAGGAGTTCATTACCATCATGCCATTATTACATGAAATATTAAAGGGACTTATTTAAGAAAAAGATCAAAACTGTGAACATTAAAATGACAACAAACTCACAACTATTAACAACTGAACATAAACAATAAAAAGCAAACTAAGAAGACAGCTAGAACAGGAACAGAATCATAGATATGGGGATCCTTTGGATGGGGAATGGGGGAGAAAGGGGGATTTGGTATAGGGATCAAGAAGCATAATTGGTAGGAACAAAATAGACAAGGGGGTATTAAGAATAGTATAGGAAAAGGAGAAGCCAAAGAACTTAAACACACAACCCATGGACACGAACTAAGGAGGGAAATTGCTGGAGGGAAATTGCTGGAGGGAAAGGGGGTCCTGAGCAGAGGGAAGCAAAGGGGAAAAAAAAAAAACTCGGACCACTGTGACAGCATAATCAAAAATATATACTTCAAAAAAAGCACAGGTAACAGTAAAATAATTAAGAAGTGACAAGGTTTTGAGTATTATCTTTGTTTCTAATATATTTGTCAATTTATGTGTTAATTTTAATAATATCTGTGTTCAACAACCACTGGTAAATTTAGGTGATGGCTGATTTAGAAAGCCAAACAAATAACCACCCAGCCACACTTCTGTGTCAAGAACATTTTAAGAATGGAGTATACAGCTTTTAAAATTTATTATGAGTATGTGTTATTTTGGTAATAAGATTTTTTAAAAATAGGGCAGAGAGCCCAAATACACCACCTTACACACGGCAAACACATAGCCTGTGCTGGTGCAGCTTGATGGGCTATTGGAGGGCCCAGCTGAGAACCTCAGAGCACAACCCATTGTTAGCAAACATGGGTTGATTCTGAAGTTCTAGAATTCCCAGAAGCAGTGATTCAGCGCTGGGAGCTTCAGCTCACAGTTTTTCTTCACAGCTCTTGGGTGCCCCACACCAGGGTGCCCCTCTTTCCCAAAATCCAAATGAAGGAATTTCTCTTAATAATGAGTCTTTATCTGCTTGGATCTGCCAGAGGTGAGTCCTCTACCTTAGCTCAGGGTCAAATGTAAGAGGCCTCTTTAAGGTGTTTCAGCTCTTGAAGAAGAGAGACCAGTATCTTAGATACCCAAAGCAGTCTGACTCAGAATCAGGAATAGCTAAACAAGTTCAACTCCAAGTGTTCCTCAACCGTTGCTCCTTCCAGTAATAGCTTTACCGCCAGAGCCTACTGGCTTGGCACAGTCCCGTTCCTATTTCTTTCAGCCACTCAATACTTGTACCCATTGCTCTGTGACATGAGAAGATGGGTCTAGGGCTCCTGTGGAAGGGAAGTGAGTGCAAGAAATCCTTGTGTAGTTAACGTGGCCAGGAAAGGTATAAGGAGATGGGAATGTAATGTGTCCAGGGAGCCATCTCAGAACACAACAGAGCTGTGGGCCAGAGAATTATGAGCCTCCCTTTCATGGCTTCTGGTTTTATATTTCCTCTTTTAGGACCCCAATTTATGGTGGATTGTGTTCCCTCCTCCTTCGTAAAGGAAAAAAGGGAGGTCACGCATTCTGAGATGATGGTTAAATGACAAAGTGTTTCCTGTAACATCAGTTCTCAGACATTTTGTTTTTGGCTTTCTTAGATTTTCAGTGGTTGACTCAGACATGTAGATACATAGCTACCAGGTAGTCGTAATGTGACAGCCACATGGTGAAGCAGTGACTCATAAACTCATGAATGACTAAGAAATCAGTGTACTTCTTCAAGTTTCCTTTCTTGAGCAGAAATCTCTTTATCAAAGCTTCTTTTAACTATGGAAGAATCAGACAAACAATTCTGTAACAACTTTTAAAAAATAAAAACCTCCTAAAAGCCTTACTATTGTAAATCTTACCTTTCCTCTTTCATATTCTGATCTTGGACTTTGAAAAAGTCATTGATTTAAAGACTGCCGATCACCTAGAATTAGATTATTATATATATGTATATTCAGAACTCCTACAGAGCCAGAGTACTTTGGGGCCTTAGGCTACCTCAGTCTCAAAGATCTTGTAATTCCTCTCAGCTTTTGGCTAGGATTGATAACTCAGTCATTGTAGTTTACTCGCCCTCCTCTAGGTTACTCAGTCAAATTAGGGAGTAATACTCAAACTCTGTTTGGTGCCACGTTCAATAAAATGAAAGTCCTAATTGCGGAATACCTGTCTACAGTCACTGCTGACATGGAACAAAGGCAGAAGGCCAGCTGAGGGTTTTGTAATCCCCTTTGGAAGGTGGGGAGAACAGAAAACTGAAATAAACTGAGTGCTTAAGCAATAGGTGAGGCACTTCACAATTATCTTATTGACTACTCATGACAACTCCATGAAGTGGGTGTAAATGTTGTGTCACAAGGAATCTCAATTCAGAGATATATAAGAAAAGAATGTTTTTATCTTAAAATTGATAGGAACTTTGGGGATTGAGTGCAGGAAAGAACTTGAAATTGCCAAATAGAGGCGTCTTAATGCCTTTTGATAATTTTTGTGTTCATTAGGTATTTGTCCTCTCTAGTTTAAAAGTGACCCTGTCCAAAAGTTTAAAACTTCCATCCTCAATTTCAGCTAGTATTGTTCTGCCACTGAAAAAACTTGCTTTCTCCCTCTGTATCTCTGTTCTTCTTGCCTTCCACCTATAGAGGACCTGAAGGGAGGGCTGGTGGGGGACTTCTGATTACATGCGTTGATTCCCAGATGCTGCCTTGTCAAGGAGGCACATTAATTTCCCCTCAGGTGGTTTTGGTGCACAAGTGAGTGGGCCTCTGTGCATTTCTTAATATTGTGAAACTTAAAATTCTTCCCTTTTATCCCAGGGATGCTCTCTGTGTGTTTCGTTAATACCTCTGTCCTTCATGGTCCCTTGGGCAAGTAGCTGATTTCCCCCAACATCTGTAATATCTTCAGCTGCCTGATAGAAGTCCACAGGAAACCTAGGGATCCCACAACATTAGCCTTACTCCATAGGAGAGTAGTCTTTACCCCGGGGCACACTGTGCCTCACCTTCGTCATCTTTTCTCTTCTTTCTCTGTCCCAGGAGCCTCGGGTAAGCCTGATAAGACTCCTGGCTCTCTGAATCAAGCTTCGGTTCAGCGATTTTCAGGTGAGCACTTTTCACTTGCAAACCCTTCAGGCAAAGAAGCTTTATATGTGACTTCTCCAGGCAAGATCGCTTTAAGTGAGCGCCCTTTAGATGAGCACACTTTGGTTGGACGCGCTTTGGGCGAGCACAGTTCAGGTAAACACGCTTCAGGTGAGCCCGGTTCCGGTGAGCATGCTGCTGGCAGTGACCATGCTGCAGAGGAACAGCCTGTGGGAGAAAAGGCTTTCGGGGAGCAGCCTTCCGGGGAGCAGCCTTCCGGGGAGCAGCCTTCCGGGGAGCAGCCTTCGGGCGGAAAGCCATTGGGTGAACAGTCTTTGGATGAAAAGCCTTCGGGTGAACAGGTTTCGGGTGAAGATGACGCAGGTGAACCAGTTTCAGGGGAACAGGCTTCAGGTGAACAGGACTCAGGTGAAAAGCGAATGGATGAACCGCCTTCGGAGAGTCCAGTGCCCAATACATCTTCAGGTGAGCCACACGTGGATGGGCGTCAGTCCTGGACTACAGGTGGGAAGTAGACAGCATGTCAAGAAGCCCAATTTTAAGGGAAAAGTGTAGAGGAAAGAATAGTTCACAAACACTTCACAAACAGCTCTCCCAAAGACACTGAATCATTTCATTTGAATCATTTGAAAGGCCCTCTTCTAAGAAAAATAACACAGATACAACATGCCAGCATTCCCTCCAGCCTCACTTTACATAAGAAATTATGAATGCAAATGCCGCAGCTCCCCTGGAAGGGGCTCCTGGAAGACTCATTTTCAGGAGCTTCATGTGAAATCTCCCTCTTAACGAACTCTGTTAGAAGGCTTTGCAAACCTTGTCAAGAGATGTCTAGCTCTGGAGCTGGTGGCTCTTTGTGTTTTGGGGTTTCTTTGTTTGTTTATTTCTTTAAACATGGAAAATAAAGCATGTAGACGCTGTTAGATCCAGAAATAAGTTCCCATGACAATGGCAATTCTTTGGCTCTTACTAAAAAGAGGTTGTTCATGGAAGGAAAAACAAGATCCAAGGTTTGATGCCTCAAGTTATTACCAGATAAAAATACTTCATACTTCACCCCCTTGCATAAGCCGTAGTATCCCAAATTTTCAGATGAGAGAAATGAGACTAACATTGCATGGCTAGAAAATAGCAGACCTTGGATTCAAACTTAGGTCTGGCTTCAAAGCCCTATTCTTCTCACTTCTTGTGCTTCCTTAACTAGGGAATTGGCAGTGGAGATAGTGAAAGAGGCAATATGGGAGCATTTCAAAGAGAATGCCTTTGTGACAAATGGACCTTATCATACAGGCAATTGGAAAACAGAGAACAACACAAACTCTTTACAGGGTTTGCGTAACCAGAGCATTCTGACCTAGCTTGTTACCCAGTCAGGTCTTACTCCAAGCATTCGTGCTGGTGGGCGGGAGCGCGGTGGAGAGCACCAAAGGGGGTCTGCCATGTGACAAGTTCTTCTTCGCTCCTGTTGAGTCAGACTTGGCAGAAGGGCATCTAATTATACAAATGTCCAGGAAGTCAATGAGGGTATGAATTGGAGTAAACGTATCAGCGAGATAAGTCTGGGATTCATTAGCAATGATCATCATAGATGAAGCAGAAGAACGAAGGAATTCCCTTTGGCACAGGAGAGAGAATATACTCTGTCAGTCGCAGGGCCCACAGATCCCCAACAAGGACTAAGAAGCGAAGAGTGTTGTATGAAGCCTACGTGGCGCCCATCACCCCTCCCCGGTGTGTGACTCTGGCTAGATACCTGGTACACAAGAGAATTTCATCGGGTTTATCTTACATTTTCAGACTCAGTTTTAAAATGCCTCACGTGCTCTTATATGAATGATCAAGGAAAATGTCTTCGTGGAGAAGGAGTCTGCACCACTCAGAAGTCCCAGCAGTGCATGTTGAAGAAGATCTTTGAAGGTACATGGGGACTTTGTGTGGCAGCCTTTGGCAGAGTGCACATCACCCAACTTGAGTGCCCATAGGGGGTAGGTCGGGGGAGGGGCAGACAGGGGCCCGAAGAGGGATCAGGCTTTGGCTCCCAGAAACTTGGAGATTTAGGAAAAGCGTATCTTTCCAAGAATTAAGAGAAGAATTCCAGCTACTGATAAAGAGGTAGAGACCCTTCCCAGCAGGCCTATGATATCTTAAAAGGAGGCAGAGAGACTGGTTATCTCCTTTTATTAAATAAATAAATAAATAAATAAATAAATAAATAAATAAATAAAAAGATGAGTTGCTCCTTGAGCCAGTGACTGTAAGCTCAGGACTGTGTCTATCTTTTTTATAACTATATATTCCTAGCACTTAGCACAATGTCCAGTCCATGGCAGGCATTTAGTAAATACTGAAAAAAGTGAAGAAGCAACTGTCTACCAGTTTGTGCCCACAGGTTGCCAGACCTGTCTGGGTATATGCCCATAGCTCTCTACCCTTCTACTCACTCCTCGTGCCCAAAATAAGGGATGTTGGTTGCTTGCATCGAGTAAACCACCTTGCCCAAGCAGGGGGAGTGGGCAGCTGATGAAGGGAAAGGCAGCTGGCAGGGGAGGTCTCACCTGTGCCTGCGCGAGGGCACCGGGGGCCATGGGATGAAGGCCAAGGTTGGAAGAGGAGCCTCGTGCTCACCACAGCCTGTCTCTGCTTCTTTCAGGTGGAAAACTGCAGTTCATGGTTCAGGGCTGTGAGAACATGTGCCCATCCATGAACCTCTTCTCCCACGGAACTAGGATGCACATTATATGCTGTAAGAATCAGTCTTTCTGCAACAAGATCTAGAAGACTTCCCTGCTTCTGGCTCTGCCTCAGGCAGCAAAAATCCTCCATCAGCCTGGGCTCAATTTATATTTAGTTTCTTTTCTAGTCAACAACTAATCACAGGTGCCTCTGCCTGAGGGTCAGGCAGGGTAGTCAAATATCTTTCCTCTCCCATTGATGCCATTACCCACACTTCTCTGTCCTCCATTTTCCCCTTTCCCCAAACCCATCTCCCAACACTCTTTTCCCTTTCAATAAATTCCGCCTGGTTAAAGAATAGAGTCCAGACAGACTTCTTTTCCTGTCAGTCAGCTGCAGAGTCAGCCGAAGTGTCCTGCACCCCACACATTGAACTAGATGCATTTTTAAACTATTCCATATTCATCCAAGTGTAGGGATCCTCCAGGGCAGAGACCACAAAGGGGAATATGAAGCAGGTATTAACCCTTTACGAGCTTCAACAGAGAGAGGATCCTTCTCTGACTCCCTTCATTTCCATCCCTAGAGAAACACCATCCCCTTCTATTTATCATGGTGTCTAAAACTTACTCCTTCTTTGGCCTTGACACTTTTAAGTCTCCAGGAGTCTACTGGTAATTATAATAAAATGACTCCTTTTTACCTGTTGCTACATAAATATATAGTAGGTCATAATGCTGAAATCTTCTTTCTCACACATGATGTTACTGGTTCATCTCAGCCTAGAGGGGATAGTGGAAACACCATGCTAATCCCTCTTACCTTGTATTAGTGTTACAGTCAAGGTGTTTTTACCTCTGTGGCTGACTTTGAAGTTAGAGAAAGGGGACTACAATCCCAGGAATGTGGGCAACACAAAGAAGCTGGAAAAGGCAAGGAAATGCCTCCAGAAAGGACCACAGCTGATCAGTACTTTTATCTCAACCCACTGAGACAAGTGTCAGATTTCTGAGTTATAAAAGTGTAAGACAATGATGTTGTGTTGTTGTAAGCCAGTATGCAGTAATTTGTAACAGCAACAATAAACAACAAATATAAACAACTAGACAGAAAATTAGCAAAGATATAGAACTCAAAACACCATAAACCAAAAAGGTCTAATCAATATTTATACACCCTATGCAACAATAGTTTATACATTCTTTTTAAGTGCACTTGAAAAATACAAAAAAGAGCCTGGGCCAGTGTGGCTCAGTTGGTTGGAGTGTCATCTCCTACATCAAAGGGTTGTGGATTCGATTTCCAGATAGGGCACATACCTAGGTTGCAGGTTCGATCCCTGGTTGGAGCGCGCATGGGAGGCAACCAATGGATGTTTCTCTCTCACACTGATGTTTCTCTCTCTCTCTGTCCCCTTCCTCTTCTCTAAAAGCAATGAAAAAATGTCCTCAGGTAAGGGTTTAAAAAAAAAAAAAGAAAAGAAAATACAAGAAAACAGACCATATCATGGGCCAAAAAATACTTAAACAATAAAAGAATTGAGTCATATAAATGATTTCACCAACACAAGTCATCACACTAGAAATCAGTAACATAACAGGAAAATATCCAAATACATGGAAATTAAAGAACATATTTCTAAATCTCCAGGTCAAAGAGGATGTGTCAAAGGAAATAAAATATATCACACTTAATGAAAAGGAACACACAACATAACATTTGTGGGACACAGATAATGCAGTGCTGGGGAGGAAATTTATAGCAATAAATGCATACTTTAGAAAATTTTTAAAAGGCTCAGATCAATTATTTAAGTTCCCATTCTCAAGGACCTAGAAAATAAAAAGCAAAATAAACCCAAAATAAGCAGAAGGAAGGAACTAAGATAAAAGCAGAAATCAATAAAACAACAGAATAATAGAGAAAATCAATAAAAGAGCTGGTTCCTTTAAAAGATCAATTAAAATGGAAAAGCCTCTAGCAGGACTGACGAAGAAAAAAAGAAGATTCAAATTACCAGTATTTAAAAGAAATGGCACACAAGTAGATACCCTGAAGAATCAGAAAGATACTAAGGGCGTACTGTAAACAACTCTACACATATAAATTTGACACCTTAGTTAAATAAACCAATTCCTTGAAAAACACAAACTACCACAACTTGCTTATTATGAAATGGGTGACTTAAATAGCTTTAAATTATTAAGGACTCTGAATTTATAATCTAAAAACTCTCCCAAAGGAAATCTCCAGGCTGTGATGATTTCACTAGAGAATTTTACTAAATGTTTAAAAAAAATTAACACCAATTCTATACAATCTCTTCCAGAAGACACAAGTGGAGGGAACACTTCTCAACTCATTTTAAGAAACTCTTATCCTGATGCCACAACTAGACAAAGTAAAAAAGGCAGGAAGGAAGGCAGGAAGGGAGGAAGGGAGGGAGGGAGGGAGGGAGTGATGGGGAGGGAGGGAGAGATGGGGAGGGAGGAAGCTTCAGTTTGGGAAGATGAAAAAGTTTTGGAAATGAATGATAGGGATGATTGCACAACAATGTGAATGCATTGACTATCCCTGAACTGGGAACTTAAAAATGGTTTAAATGATAAATTTTATGCTATATATTTTATCACAATGAGAAATAAAACCCAATCAGGTATTTTGTAGATACAGAAAAGATTATTCTGAAATTTATATGAAAAGACAAAGGACTAAAATAACTAAAACAATTCTGAAAAGGACAAAGTGGAAGGAATTGGTGTGTCCAAATTCATAGTGTAAGGGTACGGTAATCAAGACTGTGAGGTTATTACTGGAGAGACAGACGTATACGTCAATGGAACAGAACAGAGAACCCAGAAATAAACCCACAAATACAACCAACTAATTTTTTTAACCAAAGTGCAAAAGCAATTCAATGGAGACAGGATAACCTTTTCAACAAGTGATGGTGGGAGAGGATATTTAGAGGCAAAGTAAACTAAGGCTCACACTTTATACAAAAATTTACTCAAATGCGTCACTGTCTTAAATATAAAATGAAAAACCATAAAACTTTCAGAAATAACATAGGAGAGAATCTTCAAGATCTAGGTGTAGACAAAGGATTATTAGACTCTCTATCTAAGAGACACGAAAATACCATCCATAAGAGGAAAAATCATTGAACTGCATTGAAATTTTAAAAAAAACCAAAACACCTTTGTTGTTTTTCGACCTATTAGGAAGATAAAAAGGCAAGCTACAGAATGGGAAAAACATATCTGCAAACCACATATTTGACAAAGAACTAGTGTATAGAATATATAAAGAACTTCTTAAACTCAATAGAAAAAAACCCAATTAGAACATGACTGAAAGACAAGAGCATTTCACCAAAGAAACACAGATGGCAATTAAGCACTGAAAAGATGTTTAACATTAGCTACTAGGTGATTAGCCACTAGGTGGTAGAAATGCAAATCAAAATCACAGTGAGAATTGCTACATACCTATCAAACAGAATGGCTAAAATAAAACACAGTGACAACACCAAATGCTGGTGAGGATGTGAAGAAACTGGATTACTCATTTACCAATGGCTGAAATGTAAAATGGTAGAGCCACTCTGGGAAAGTTTGGAAGTTTCTTCAAAAACTAAGCATACAACAGTCACGTGACCTAGCAGCTGCCTTTCTCAGCATTCATCCCAGAGAAATGAAGACAATGTTCATACAAAAACCTATACACAAGTGTTTACAGAAGCTTTATTCATTATAGCCAAAAAGTAGAAATAACCCGGATGTCCTTCAATGGGTGAAAGGATAAACAAACTGTGGTGCATCCATACCGCCGAACACTACACCGGCACAAACAGGAAATAACTTGATCTATGCTAACTGCCTGGGTGAATCTCCAGAGAATTTTGTTGAATGACAAAAGCAATCCCTAAAGGTTAAAATACTGTATGATTTTATTTATATAACATCATTATGATGAAAAACTATAGAAAGGGACAGTAGATTACTGGCTGCCAGAGGACAGAAGGGAGTATGGCTATAAAAGGGCGACATAGGGGATTCTTGCGGTGATGGAAGTGTTCTATCTTGACCATATTAATGTTAATATTCTGGTTATGATACTGCTTATAAGGTGTTACCACTGGGAGAAACTGGGTAAAGGATATGAAGGACCTTTTTGTATTAGTTCTTACAGCTATGCATATGAATCTACAATTTTCTTAAAAACATATAAAAAGACACATTTACATTCAAACACACGTGCTAAAATACACAACAATAGTACATAAACTACAGAACTATAAGGTCCATTGATTGTACAGATAAAGCATACGGTAGTAACTTTAGAATTTGGCAAGTATGTATCTTGTAAATTATACAGGCCATCCCCCCAAATATAGAACAGTTTCAAACTAGAAGAGGAGGAATAAATGAAATAATTTGTAAAGAAAATACTGAACAAGGCAAAAAAGTGAAAAAATACAAATCCTGTGGGACCAAAAGAAGATGGTAGAAATAAATCTAAATAGAGCAGTAATCATACTGAGTGTAAATGGAATAGGTACTCTGGGTTAAAAGGAAAAGATTGTCAGACTAGATTTAAAAAATAATTTAAAGAGCTATATTTTACACATGATTTAGAAAAATTAAAAACTAAAAAAGATATCCCATGCAAAGCAAGCCTGTGTTGCTGGCTTTATTTACTTGTCTGTTTTAATTGTAATTTTTTTTAAATTAGCAACAAAAACAAAAACCATAAAAACAAAACAAAAAAAAAACCTTGTAGAGCTATAGAATCAAGCGAAAAGCATTACTGTGTCTATAAAGAGGGTCACTTCTAAATAAATAGTTTAATTCATTTTTAAGCACACATGCAGTATTCTGAACCACCAAGTGAGACTCAACAAACTTTAAAATGCTAAAACATAGAAAGTATGTTTTATGACCATCTTCAATTAGCTGAAAATCAATTTAAAATATTCATAAAATCATTCCCATACAGCAATTCTACATAGGTATATAGCCAAGAGAATTGAAAATGTATGGACACAGAAAAATCTGTATGATAATGTTCATAGCAGCCTTTTTCATAATAGCTGAAAA